TAGGGTTTCTTTTGCTGTAAGAGGACCATCACCATGGTGGCAACTCTTTTTTTTTTTTTTGGTTTTTCGAGACAGGGTTTCTCTGTGTAGCTTTGCGCCTTTCCTGGAACTCACTTTGTAGTCCAGGCTGGCCTCGAACTCACAGAGATCCGCCTGGCTCTGTCTCCCGAGTGCTGGGATTAAAGGCGTGCGCCACCACCGCCCGGCCATGGCAACTCTTATAAAGGAAAACAGTTCATTGAGGCTGGTTTACAGTTCAGAGGTTTAGTCCATTATCATCATAGTGAGAAACATGGCCACATGCAGGCAGGCATGGTGCTGGAGAAGGAGCTGAGAGTTCTACATCCTGATACTCAAGCAACAGGAAGTGAGCTGTAACCCCGGGCTTTCCTTAAGCACAGGAGACCCCAGGTTCCACCCCCACAGTATCACACTTCCTCCAACAAGGCCATGCCTACTCCAAAAAGACTAATAGTGCTGCTACACCTAATAGTCCTGCTTCCTTTGGGGGCCATTTTCTTTGAAACCACCCCACGTGGTTTAGATCCTCTCCTTGTTATACTTAGTTCTAAACTTTGAAGCCCATACATTTGGAGATACGATGCTCCATCTGAGCAAAGACAGGGCAGTTCTCCGAATGACACTGGTGGCCAGGCTGCAGTGGCTGTGAGCGATGGCTTCCCTTTCCATTCCCAGGCCATCATCCAGAGCTGTCAGTCAGGGGTATGGTTCCCCTTTCTGTGTTGAGCAGTCCTGCCAGGTTTATCTGTGCTGACCTCTTAGGTACTTCAGAAGCCCTGTGTCACGTGCTCAGTTGGAAGGTCCCTGTCCCTTCCTGCATTCTCTAGAGAATGTGAGACCAGCATAGAGGTGGGTGCCTGTTCTGGGGCATCCAGTATAGTGTTCAGCTTGTCTTTGCCAGTGTGTGCTGAGATCGGCACATGGTGGCCCGGTGCTTTGGCTGCTGATCCCTTCACCCTCCACTAGGTGGTGCTGGCGTTCTGCCTGACCCCCTCTACAGTTTTAGGGTTGTTTCCTTTGCGTTAGGATACTGGTGGCGGTAATTGCCAAAGATTTGGGCTGAGATGCCAATCCCTATGCTGTGGGCAGACATCCTGGGGGACTGCTTTGGATGGCACCAGTCATGCTGGGCTGTTGTGTAGCAGATCTTCAGATGTCTGGGAGTTTCTGGGGTTCAAGACATCTATGCCCTATCCTGCCAAGTGAGTCTGCTGTCTAGTCCAGGCTGTTCCACCCAAGACTTCTTGAGAGACCTGTTCTGGTCTATTCCACACACTGATCAGAGGGTCCTCATCACTGCAGACTTGCTGCTCATATAGACATTTACCTGGCTCTGTACCTTGTGGTAGTTTTGTCTGGCTGTTGAGTTAATTAATGTCAATCCTGGTGAATGGGGGAAGACTTGATGGAAGGGTAATTACAGAAAAGAAAGATAACCCCCAAATAACCATAAGCAAAAAGGGAGCTCATAAAGGTCACGTGTCAGAATGCCTGTCTGTATCAGTTTGAGTCTTGGCTCGGCCCCTGCTCATCTGTTGGGGACAAAGTCTGGCTCCTGAGATACAAGAGGCTCAGAGGGCTCTTATCCAACCCTCTTTTGAGAATCCATTCTGTTTCAGGTCCTGTGAGGGAAACTGAGGCTCCAGGTGATTTGCCAAAGGGTCCAGACGGACTGGTTAGCTGGACACGCAGGCCCGCATCTCCCCTGACTCCTGGCGTCAGTCTGTGGGTGATGGAGGTAGAAAGCAGAAGCTGCCCTGGGTGTCTGGATAGGCAAGGGCAGCAGGTGTGGGACCGAGAAGGGGCACATTGCCAAACATTATCCCCAGAGCCATCCCAACTGTCGCCATAAGATCACCGGGTAGACCATGGGGGTGGAGAGAGACTGAATGTGAGGAGGCATAGGCTAACTCAGAACTTAGTTTGGTTTCTTGTTTTTTTTTGTTTTATTTATTTATTTATTTATTTATTTATTTATTTATTTATTTATTTATTTATTTATTTATTTATTTATTTTTTTGAGGTAGCGTCTCCCTAGGAACCCCAGGCTGGCCCGGAGCTCCCCACTAGTCTGGCTTTTAAATTCATCTTTTCATCTCAGCTTCCCGAGTAGTACTGGAATTCTCGGTTTGTGCCACTAATGTCGCTTTCAAAGGTCACCCTTGGTGCTTCAGTCTCGGAGTGAACGGGCCAGTGATGGTCTCCACTCTGCCCACCAAGAGCCAGCTTGTTTTCAACTGATGGATAGATCACCTCTGCTGCTGGCCCCCAGAGGCCACTGCCCGCCTGTGGGGTGGGTTTGGAGGCTGTACAGCGGGAACGGGGGACAGCAGGCATTGGACTGTGGGACTCGGAGGGAGCAGGGAGAACAGAATGGGGAAGAC